TTTTTATTAATAGAAGATATTTCTTTTTTTTGGTTCATTATACCTCTTTTATTATGATGTCTTATTCTGTTTGGAATAATCAACCATAATATTTATAGGATTTTTGGCAAACCCTCAGCCTTCAACGGGTTTGATGAGCCTTTACCAACTACCATTTGAGTTGGGCTAGCATACGGATTATTTTAGTCTGTTCCGCATGTAACGTTGTGCTAAGAGAATTAATTCACTTAGACTTAATGCTATGACTTTGAATACATAGACTTCACCATTTCTTACGGAAATATAACATCCGGCAACGCGTGTTAGGCACAGACTTAGGACTTTTAGAAAACCCCCAGCCTTTAACGGGTTTTATATGCCTTTACTGATTACCGTTTGAATCGAGCTACCATGTGAATTATTAAAACCCGTTTCACATGTAATGTTGTGCTAAGAGAGTTAATTCTCCTAGACTTGGTGCTATGATTTTGAATACATAGACTTCATCATTTCTCACGGGAATATGGCACCCGGCAATGCGTGTTAGACGCTGACTCATCCCTACTTAGGATTCGGGATAAGGGTCCCCAGACTTGTATTCTGGTTTTTTTTTTCCCACTCGGTGAAAGACTAAACCGGCAACGCGTGTTAGGTGTAGGCTTATCTCTACTTAGAAGTTGAGATAAAATTCCCCGTGCATGAAGTGCGCGGATTGGAAGTTGAGAATTATGTCTTTTCTCAGGGTAAAGACAAACCCGATGCTGGAGAGGAAGAATTTTATATTCTTGGCCCCAGGTCTTGTTTAGGGTAAAGACGAACCCAAAAATAATGGAAGAGAAAGAATTTTATATTCTATCTCCCAACACTGAAGAGGAAGAATTTTATATTATATCTCCAGTTGGAAAGGAAACTCGAGGTGGGATCTCCACCCCCAGAATCCGGAAAGATGAAACTAGGAGTGGGATTTCCACTCTGAGAATCAAAAAGATTCAAGCAACCCTAACTTTTATAGGATTGGTTGCTTGATCCAAGAAAAGAGTTCTTCATTTATTGAAGAGAAATTCTGATTTCGACCCTAACTTTTATAGGTTTGGCTGAAAAGGAAAAGATGGAAGTCTTTCGTTTATCGAAAAGGATGACTCGATCCTAGTCCTAACTATCTGCTGGTTTGACTAAGTGAGGTTGGAGACAATCTTAACTTTTATAGGTTTGATTGCTCAAATTGAAAGTGGACCTCTCGTTCATGGAAGGAATCGAGATGAGAATCTGGCTTTGGCCCTAACTTTTATAGGTTTGACCTGAAAGCAAAGAGAGTGGAATACAGATAACAGTAGAAATACCGGCTTATACTAGCCACTCGATGGAGGATTTTCATGTTAAGTGAGCAGGACTTAACACGTCAAGCTTTAAAAATTACCATGAATTAGCGGATAGAAATTTTGGTGGGCTCACCGTCAATTGACTTGAACAGTGGGGGATTTTGCGAGGAAAGATTGATATGTCAAAAGGGTCAAATCTCATTTCAGCAAAAGAATTCATGAGAATTGGTGAATTCGATATCAACAATAAAATATGCTTCAACTTTGAATACATTCGGAGTCCAAGTGTGGATTTCTTATTCATTACTTTCATAGGGACTGGGTTATCCCTAAGAATACCACATGCAATATTCTTCTGGGAACTTCCCGATACATTGGTTATCCTGAATATACTAAGGGTAGTATATTTCCAGGAAATTGTCGTTTATCGGCATCATAAGCCGGTCGCCTTCTTTAGTAATAAGACGGTATGCGCCACTCGAGTAGACTGTCTCTACTACAAACGACTCTTCCCATTTGGGCTCAAATTTGCCTTTCTTTTTGGAATTAAGGATCATAGGTCGTCTTTCAGTTAAGACTAAATCTCCTTCTTTAAAACTCTGTTATCGAACCTTCTTATCGAAAGCTCGAGAAATTCTGGCTTGGTAGAATTCAATGTGCTGTTGAGCTTCCAAGCGTTTCTCATCGAGCATTTCGAGTTCTTCGAGACGTTTATGATGTTGTTCTTCGGTCGTCATCTGGGTTGTGAGAATGATTCGAAGAGATGGAATTTATATTTCCAATAGAAGGACGGCTTCACACCCGTACACCAAAGAATATGGGGTTGCGCTAGTAGGTGTGCGAACTGTGATGCGGTAAGCCCACGGGGCTTTGCTGAGTTTATCATCCCAATCTCATTTGTTAGTCTTCATGAGTTTTGATAGAAGCTTGATGATAGTCTTGTTAAAGGCTTCAGCTAATCCGTTTGCTGTAGGATTGTACGCTGTTGACGAGAAGTCTTGAATTCTGAACTTCTCACAAAAGTTAATGTAGGCATTGCTGACGAACTAAGGATCATTGTCATGTATGATCCATCTTAGGACACCATATCGATAGATAATATGGTGCTTAATGAATGCGGTAACGTTGCTTGTCTTAACTTCTCTGAGCGGAATCGCTTCAGCCTATTTGGAGAAGTAATCGGTAATTATGAGAATGAATCGATCACCTTTGACTGACGGGGGATTTATAGGACCAACAATATCCATTCCCCAAGTCTCAAAAGGCCATGATGTAGCCGAAGGATGAAGATGCTCCGGGGGTTGGTGCATATAATTCGTGTGCACTTGACACGCATGACACTTTCGGACATATGTGACTGCATCTTTGATCATAGTGGGCCAAAAATATCCTATTCTTCTGATGCGGTCATAAAGTTTGGGACCCGATTGGTGTGCGTCGCAAACTCCTTCGTGCGTTTCTTTAAGGACTTCTTCCGCTTCTTTAGTCGATAAACAACGTAGTAGTAACCCATCGTACCCCCTACGATATAGTGTTCAACTCTCCGTGTTGTAGTAGAATCTCGATGCTCTCCGTTGGATCGAATCTCTTTCCTTCGTATCTTCTGGTAAAATCCCATGCAGGACGTAGTCTATGATAGGAAAACGCCAATCTCGGGGTTCGAACTCAACTTGAGTTGAATGTACTGGACGTAGTCTATGATAGGAAAACGCCAATCTCGGGGTTCGAACTCAACTTGAGTTGAATGTACTTCTTTAATATCCTCTTCCTTGTCATCTTCATCGTAGATTGGCACGAAGAGTTGGTGAGTTCTCACACTAACAAACTGTTCCGTTTCGAGAGGCTGTGCCAGGGACACGGCTAATGCTGCCAGCACATTTGCGTACGTGTTTTGTAAGCATGGAATGTATTCGATGAAAAATCCTTCAAACGATTCTACCATCTCAACGGCCACCTTATGGTACGGTATCAAATCTTGATTTCTAACCTCATACTCTCCCTAAACTTGTTTAACTATCAGTTGAGAGTCACCAAAAGCTTCGAGGTATTCGACCCCCAGCTCTTTAGCAAAGCTGAGTCCAATAAGTAGCGCAATATACTCGGCTACATTATTCGAGCACGGCTCGGTCAGCGAGTAAGCTCGAGGCATTACATTTTTTCTTGGGAAAACTAAGACAACTCCAACTACGGAAGAAATCTTAGAACATCCAGGGGTACTTGCTACATTAGTTGCTCGAGAAGCACCATCGAAGTATAAACGCCATACCTGTTGATAGGAAGTTACGTTGACTTCGTGGGTTTCATCTGGCAGATCGTCGTATACCTCGATGGTATCCGTAGTTAGGTTAGCTGCAAGGAGATCACAAATAGCTTGTCCCTTAACCGACTTTTGTTGTTTAAAATATAGGTCGTATTGAGACAGAAGTAAAGCCTATTTCGCTAACCACCAATTCATGAAAGCAGGCTGTGTCATGAATATTCTGACTAGGTTAACATTGGAGATGACGTAGATAGTTTGCCCAACCAAGTAGTGCCGCATCTTTTGGATAGAGAATACTAAGACGAGACACTCTCTTTTGATCATTGGATATCGAGATTCGGCACCCACAAGGGTCCGACTCAAGTAATATACTACTTGTTCGTGACCGTTATCGTCGTCTTGTGCAAGTAATGCACTTAATGAATGGCTCATCGCCTTGACATAAATCAAGAATGGTTTGCCCGACTTCGGTGTAACGAGCACTGGAGGTTTTGAGAGATATTCTTTAATATCTTCAAATACTTTTTAGCAAGCGTCATCCCATATAAATGATACACCTTTCTTTGTAAGCCTGGAGAATGGTTGACATTTTCCCGAAAGGTTTGAAATGAAGCGACGGATATAAGCTAACCGTCCTTGTAATCCTCTGAGTTCCTTAAGGTTTCTCGGAATTGTAGTTCGTTAATCGCCTTCACTTTGTCAGGGTCAATATGAATACCCTTAGGCTGCGTTTGGGAACTTGGATTTGGATTTGAAAGGTTGATTTAAAATCATAGGATTTCAAATCTAGAATTTGAAATCCATGATTTGATAAAATCTTTTGTTTGGAAGTCATCACTAAATGCAAGGATTTGAAATCATAGATTTAAAATCTGATGTTTTGATGCACTTTATTATACATGAATTTGGATTTGAAATTGGTGTTTTAAAAAATTTTATGCTCTCTCTTAACTCCTTAATAATTAAATCAAATGTGAACATTATGGTTTATATTGAGGAAAAAGTTAGGGTAAATTTCGCGACCCCCTCAGAAGTTTGATCTCTTTATTAGCAATTATAAATACACACATGCAAACATCTTGTCCTTCATGAATTGGTATGAGAGAATACAACAAATAATAATAATGTCCAAAATATTTATTATTACGCCATTTTTTCATGGCTTCATCCAATACTACATCAACCTTCAATCTCCAAAGAACAAGAGTACTACTCCAATAACTAGCCATGATAAAAGACTCGACGAGTCAAAAGAGTTTAGCAAACACTCCTCATAAGAAGCTCTACACTCCACAATAATACTTCATTTAAAACACAACATACCATAGGTAGTTGATAACCATGATTTGCTATAAGAAGTAACCATGATTTGCTACAACAAGCCAAATTACGACAACATAAACTATTAAAAGAAAACATATCTAGAATCCTCTATTTATCCTTCAAGTCTTCTCCTCTTTTCTCTCCAATGCGCCCAACTTCATGTCTCGAAGAATTTGAGTCCTACATTACACAATTTAGCATCAATTAGTCCATGGCACAAAAATCGAACTTCAAAGTTGAATCATGAAGACCATCAACCTTTAAAAAAAGAAAAAGAAAACAATTACAGGATTGCGTACTTTCTGTATTCTGATGGAGGCACTAGTTTTCTCAACAAGGAGACCATGACAATTGTTGATGTTAGATTATCAAGGACAGAATTTAGGAAGAATGTGACAAAACCAACCTGAGAAAAGCACACAGTGCCACTTTTTACTGGAAGTACCCTATACCACCATTTATAAGTTATCATGTGAAATAGGAGTGTGTATCTGCATATTCAATGTACCTTGGAAGTATTTGAAAGTATATACTAACTGATTATTTATGTTATATGGATGCACACATACATACATATAGATAGTTCACCTTCTAATGCTGGAAGTCTCCCATCACACAATATCCAAACAAGAATACTAGTGTATTTACCACAAAACATTACAGTCAATCCAGCATCTGTGCACGCATAGTCTCAGTTTACTTTGAAATTCAGGCATTACCGAAGTAAAGTATTCAAGGTCCTTGCACCATGTTCAGGTTCTTATCAGAGGACAAACTGCTACTTAAAAGCAAGCTCAAACTCATTCTAGTTGATGTAAATTAAAGCGCTAATCTTTGTAGCATAATTCATGACTTCAAAAAACATGATTTTGAGGGAACAAATGGAACTCCAAGAATGAAAAATACATCAAAAGTGCGCACCTAAGGTTCTTCAGATATAAACTATGACACTAGCATGCAATTTGTTTTAGTGTTGCATTTTCGTTTCAGAAAGTAGATACACATGAAATATATGGGTTGAACATCTGTAAAGACCACTAAAGACAGTAGGCTCAAATAGTTCAGAAAGTGGAAATCAATCCATGTTCACCAAAAATAAATTGTCAAAAGTGTCATAAATGACACAGATAAACCTCCAGTTAAGGGACAGGGATAGATATTATATAATGTCAAGAGTCAGTAATACTATGATATGAAATTTCTAATGAGTTCAATCTTAACCATGATACAAAATTGTAAATGACATAAAATGTCAGCTACGACAATTATGGAAAACCAGAATACAGGCATTAAATCTAACATATAACTAAATCCAGTAATGCACTGAAAAAATAAAGTAGAGAAAAACAAGCTATCAGACAAAACCAAAACTATGAGAGTTGATGAGAGGGACAGTCATGCTTAACCTTCCGAAACCTTATCCTGTTCAATGAATTGTCAGAATGAATGCCAAGTAGTTGTCTGTCGAAATTAATTAGCAGTATATTAATAAGTATATGTGCAGTTATGTGGAAAAGACTAAGAACAGTGTTACAGTGGGTCAATCTGGCTGATCAACCATAGTACTCAAAATTTAGGGATAAATGACAAAATAATGAGAGTTAAAATATGCCTAAAAAAGAAAAAGAAATCCAAGAGAGAACTTACTCGAATGGGTTCAAAGATTTGGGGGTTTTTGCCATCCAACTAGAAGCTACTCCTTAAGAATAAAGAGAATGAAATCTCTTTTTTCATCATCAGGAAGTGACTTCAACAAATAAAATTTTTCTGGGTTGCTATCCATTAGCTTCTCAAATGCCTTGAACACTTGAATGCGACTTAAGTTGGGTATTTTTGAGACCACATGATGAATCTCCTCACCGGTTGGTGGTTTTCTTACTACTTCCTTCTTTCTCTCATTAAAATACTCAGTCACAGAAGCTGCCATCACTGCAAGTGAATCAACCAATTTATCCCCCTTCTTTTGTTTCTTTGAACTTGTCTCACCACTAGTTGATGTTCCAGGAAGATGTTTCCTTGAAGAGCTTCCATCTTCGTTTGTTTCAGATTGTGCCACAGATTCATCATGTTGCATTGTGTTAGCAGCCTCTTCAAAAGTTTCTGCACCTTCACCGTTGGCTCTATCTTTTGCACATAACACCATAATGTCATCCCAATTTTCAATCAAACGATTCTGGTAGCCTTTTGCATCTGGATTAGCCTGCAATATAAGAACATTCACAAATATTTTTTAGATATATGCAACAAACTAATAGTTCAAATTAATAAATATAAAGTGCAATATTACCGTAACATAGTCGTTCCATACTTTTTGCTCACTAGCGGGTATAATCACCATTTTCTTCTCATCATCCCACCACGTCAAACCACTTTTATTTTTAATGTCATAGATAACATTATAATGGGTTTTCCATATTTTGAGTCGATTTTTCACATTATCTTTGTTCAAGTTGCTATTAAATTATTTTAGTGCATCAACCGCAACTTGATACACTTGAGGCTTCCAAGTACCATCGACTTTTAATCCTTGGTTCATTTGATCGTACAACACATTGGCTAAAGCTACGTCCATATCACGATTCCACACAACATATGATCTTGAATGAGATGCAATTTGTTTTCCTTTCTTTGTCATCCTAATACATACCAAAGTGAATGACACAGAATTAGTATTGAAGCACAAATGTTGATTAGTAATGAATGCAATTAACCCATATAGTCAATAACTTGCTTGCAAGCTTTTGGAACAACAGTAAATACTCCTGTAAAGGTGAAGAGAAGCAATCATCTCACAAACAATTGATTAATGAGAGGTCACCTTATGAAGCAACATAAGATAGTTGAAGCAATCAAACGATTCTGGTTGTAGCTTTTAGAATATCTAACGTAGGGCTGATGAACTGTATCAACATAAGATTTCAAGGTCACCTTATGAAGCTTCCTGGCTATGAATCATATCTAAATGAATATCTTTAATTTATCATCATGCATCATTATCCAATCTATGCAATTAAGTGATAAGGAGAAACTAGCTAGGCACAAGATAATTAAGTGATAAGGAGAAACCCCACGCACCAGATTATGATATAAGCTAGCTAGCCAGTGTAATCATGCATGTAGAAATTCAAATCCAACCATATATTGCTTAATTAATGTCAATAAGAAGAATCAATATTCGAGCTCAAAGATAGTAATTTAAACTGACATAACTGAAACTTTTGCATTTGGGAAGGAACACTAACCTCAAATTCGAGGACTAACATAAGGTGTAAAAGTCGGTATTCATCCCACATTTGCATAGTTAAATTATCTCTAAAGTTGCTCCATTCATCTGTAACTCTCACAGTGGTGATACGCTCATCATCTACATTCTCAATTTCTAAAACAGGAGAATCTTCTAATTCTTGATCCACATCATTCAACAAGTCGTCTTCATTCATCTCTTCACGTAAAAAGTTGTGAAGAATACAACATGCATTAATGATCCTAATTTGAATCTTAACACTATAAAAGCTAGCTGTCCGTAATATAGCCCATCGCTTTTTTAGCAATCCGACTGCTCTCTCAATTGTGTTTCTAGCAGAGGAATGACGTTGGTTAAATAACTCCTTGTAGTTTCTTGGACCATTTTCTCTCCAAGACTTTATATGATAGCGAGTCCCTCGATAAGGTGCCAAAAACCCCGGCCCATTTGTATACCCAGCATCCACAAGAAAGTATTTATCTACAAAATCAAAATCTTCAGTCACAACAATGTAAAAACTAGGAAGCAATACATATATAATAATTAAAAGAATTATATTCCTACTTGAGGGAAGTTTTAAGCCATTGGGCCGACGCAAAGCATCACGCAAAACACGAGAATCTGATGTTGAACCCTCCCAACCAGGTAGCACATATGAAAATCTCAAATTGGCATCACAAACACCAAGTACATTTGTACTGTTCTCTCCTTTTCTATTTCGATATCTACTTTGATCTTCCAAAGGAATAGTTAATTGGATATGAGTCCCATCAAGTGCCCCGATAGCATCCTAAAATTGCACAACCTTACAATTAGTTCTATTAAACAAAAGTACTAAACATGAAAACCTTAATAAAAGAAGTCATAGTTACCTCAAACCATTTCCACTTCTCTATGTCTCTCTCATTAGGATTTGTATATTCTTGTTTAATATAGAGGCTTCCTATCTTCATGACTGCTTGAAGTACTTTGTGGAACTGCCGACTAATTGTTTCATTTGAACGATAAAAATCTGTCTTGCTTGTCCTATTTTTTACATTATGAGCTAAAATATGCAAAAACATAGCGACAATTTCTTCAATCGTGACATTTCTTGATGCTACTAATCCCCCTCTAGTACATAGAACATCACATAACCTCTTAAACGCTTGAGGATTCATCCTTAGTTGTTCAACACAGTTATTTGCATTACAAATAAGATTTCGAATCCAAGACTTTCTAAGGTATGTCCTTTCATCCTCTTCTTCGTGTGTTCTTGAACTCTCCTTCACCATGTGCTTTGTATAGTACCAAGCACCAATGGCAGCAACTATAAAACTGACCACTACCATAATAATGTCATCATCCTCTCTCCTCTCAAATTCTTCCCTTGTACGTTTAAGTTGGATCCTTGAATCCCTTTCATCGTTTACTGTGTTTGGTCTTTTAGCCGATGACATTATAGGCATGTCTACTTTCCTTTCATGGAAGATGCAAATTTAAAATGCTACTCAAAATAGGTACAAGGGTAATTATTAGGATTATTAAGACCATCATTAGAATGCATGAAATAATAAAAAGAAATAAGTAGATGTCATCAGAAAGAAACACTGGAAAATAAAACCATGCCAACTCATCATGTATTTGTAGCTCCAAGATAAATTTGAATTAACACAATAAAATGAAAATAAAAACTGGATGGACGCAATAGACCAAAATCATCATGTAACACAGTTCACACCAGAAAGAACTTGCTTCTTAAATGACAGGAAAGAGGATACCGAAATCATGCCAACTCATCTTATCCAAACGAGAAAACAACATTGTAAGAAAGGCGACTTCCCTCTAGTCCCTAAATGTTTTAAAAAAATGTACAATATTCCTAGCTTTTCAGACCCGTTAGAAGAGGTGCGACTGATGTTCAGACCCGTTAGAAGAAATGTCCTAGCTTTTCGATAGCTCGCAGCCAAGAGGAAATATATCTGCAGGTACTCAGTAAAGAAATAGGTTTGTGCCTGTAGCTTGATACTGATCTTTGTTATTGCCTGTTTCTGTTTGCTTTTTACTGAGCCATTAGTTTTCTACAAAATGCAAAGTAGTAACAATGCATTGACTACTTTTGTATAATTATACATTCTGCTATGAGTGCCAATGCCTGGTTCTCCAGGACTGGAAATTATACATGTAAATGGGTTTAAATTTGTAGTATTAGTGCTTTTTTAAGGAGGTCTACTCTACATTGTGCTTACATCTGAAAGTTGTATTTTCCCCCATCACAGGTACATAGAGTGGTTACAGAATAATGGATAGATTTATGTCATGTTCAGTGCACATGAGCAACACACTGGCAGAAATGACACTACAGTCTTGGATCATTCTGAAGAGGTTTATGATATTGATTGCCTCTATCACAATATAGGCGCTTTCTTCCCACTACCATAATGAGTATATTTTGGATGAGTATGTAAAAAACTCAAAGATGATGCTAGCATAACGAGTAGTTGGAGTTCAATGCAAATCTTCTAAGACGAAAGCCTGTATTTTACTATCATAAATGCAGAAGACTGGGTTCAGAATTTTCTTTTTCTTTTTTGCAGTTGTTCTATCTCTGGCAACACTCTTCTAAGAGATGCATATAACAGGAATGAGCTTGATTGAAAGAGAGGGAGATGGATCCATTCCTTGGGGGGAGGGGGGAATACGAGAGAAAGAGGAGGATTATGAATATTAACAGTACATAGGTTCTTTAGATTACATGAGTAGACATGAGTTCACTATATGATCCCAGGTCTAAAACATGAGGAGATTGAAAGAGAGGTTAGCCGAAAAACCTCCATCAAGAAAAGCTAGTGCTTCCAGGGACAACATTAAGACTGGACCCTCATCTCTGAACTAGTGATTAAGCAGAACATGTGCATGGAACCAATCATATAAAATGTCATCATTGAAAAAAAAAACCAAGGTAATAACAGCAATCTGCTGAAAGCCAAGCATGCATCAAATTAAACAAACCAAGGGCAAACTAATTCACAGTCATTACCAAAGCTAATTCACACAGTGATTTGCTACAGTCACCGCATATTCTCCATGGTATTGGTAGCCATATAACTTGTTTTTTTACAGTTAATAGATTTACATAAATCATGGTTCCGATAATTTATGAGATAACGTAACTGCAGCGTAAGTTATTTTTTTTCATGCTTTAACAACAATCAAGCCTACTCAGACATTCTATCAAACAACACTAGCACAGGTTTGAGCTAAATGATACCCACATCGTCAGATCCCCAAAAAAACAACCAAAAAAATTTTAAAAATTAAAAAACAGCAAAAATTGAAGTCATTCCTTGAATTCCAATTAGAAACTGCAGAAGTTTGAGGAGAGCAACCGAAAGAGAGGAGAAAACAAGCTACAACAGAGAAAAGCAAACTCAGATCAGATCTAGGGTTTCAAAATACGAAGAGAGATCCCTGTGTTGAGACGAGAGAGGAGAAGGGGAGAGAGGAGAAGGGGAGAGAGAGGAGAGAGGGGAGATACCTGCGCTAAGAATTCGAGATCGCCACTGAGAAACGAGAGAGAGGAGTCGGGATCGGGGGAGGAGTCGTCGTCCGGATCTGGATTTGGTAAATCCGAAGGGTGAGGGTGGAATTTCAAATCGGGTATTTGGGCTTTCAAAATCACCACTTTAAAATCATTTGATTTAAAATCTCAGTCCAATTTGAGGCCCAAACAAGAGATTTGGATTTGAAATACCCTGGATTTTAAATCCAGGCCCCAAATCCAAGTTCCCAAACGCATCCTTAGTGATGACGACAAATCTAAGGAATTTACCGCTGGACATTCCGAGAAAATATTTGGTACGATTCATCTTCAATTGATAAGCCCGCATCAGATCAAACATTGTCTTTAAATCCTTGATGTGATCATTTTTGTCATGACTTTTCACGACTAAATCGTCTACGTAGCATTTGACAGTCTTTCGGAGATGCTCTTGGAAAATCTTTGACATGGCTCTCTCATAGGTGACACCTGCGTTCTTCAAGCCGAAGGACATAACCGTGTAACAGCAAACACCGAGGGGTGTTCTAAACGCGATATGTTTTTCATCATTTGGGTGCATCATTATCTGATTATAACCAAAAAATCCGTCCATAAAAGACATTCTCTCGAATCCACATGTATTGTCGATGATAACATCTGTGATGGGAAGAGGGAAACCGTCTTTTGGGCAGGCAGTGTTGAGGTATCTGAAGTCGATACAAATCCTAATTTTTTCGTTCTTATTAAGGACTGGGACAATATTGGCAAGCTATTCGGGATGTTGCTCCTCCCTGACGAAACCCGAGTCGATAAGCTTTTTGACTTCGGACTCAATTGCCTCCATAATTTACAGACGAAACCGTCTTTGTTGTTGTTTGACGAGTTTGACATCCTGTTTAATATTAAGACGATGCATTGCTACATTTGGATCGACCCCTGGCATATCTTTATAATTCTAGGCGAAAACATCGATGTATTCCCTAATGAGAGAGATCAACTCTTCTTTCTCATCCGGCGGGAGGCTGTCGCTAATGAATATTGGCTTCGGATTATCCTCATTACCCATATTCACCTGGACTACTTGATCTTCGGTAGGAGGTTCTCTTTGTTCAAACCTATCACTGTACTGCATATTCAAGTGATGAACCCAAGGGTCTTCTCAAGTTGGCATTTGATCGTCTTTCTCTATTGTAGCAGGTTCAACCGTAGCCATGTTCGACATTAGCTTTTTGAACATTTCTCCGCCTTTGCTCTTATTAGCAATCTGATCAATGACTTGCCAGCAACATTCGTCGTTGGACGAGGAAATTTTGTCTTTGAGGGCGTAGCATGACTTGGTAGGGTGGTGAACCGCGCAATACTTTGGGTCATTAACCCTCTTAGTGTATTCCAGATCTTGGATCAGAGGCAACTTAATCTTGTTATTCTCTATAAGGTATTTGAAAATACCAAGAACTTCATCTTCTTTGAACGAGTAGACCTTCGGGAATTTCGATTCCGAAGCTTTCTGTTTCTGAGGCTGTTGTTGCCACCGTGACGGCTGAGGCGCCTTCTGCTGCTGCTGTTGCGGTTGCGATTGCACTTTGAATGTTTGGTTCACATCCGTTGCATTCGCTTGCGCTTTCCCTTTACCCCTCGGAACAAAATTCTGTAAGTTACGTTATCTCCGGTGGCTATAATAGTCGCCGAGCTTTCCTTTTGGTATGTAGGCCATACGAGATGGAACTCGCGGACCTCGACCAAAACAAAGACCTTTCCTAAGTGCGAAGTCATATCCGTATCTCTTCATGAGATTACGTGCTTTAGTATCATACCTGAATAGGTGAGGGGCAGGTTTATCATCATCGTCATCTTCTTCTAAAAAGTAGTCTGGTATCAAAGATTTTCTTCCTTTGCCATAGATAACTTTCTTTTCACCCCCTGCCTTTGCAGGAATGACAAGTGTCGTTCCGAACGAATCCTGCACCTGCTCTTTCGTCATGCAAAATGATTGAAGTGGCATATACAAGTAGGGGTTATCATACAGCCCATTCATGATATCATCAAGACACAACGAGTACTCTAAATCATCATTTATTGCTATTTCTTCGGCAAGTTGCCAATTACAACTACTTTCCGATGATTCTTCATCATCAAGATTGATTACAATGGGTACAATGTCATTAAGTACAAAACCGCCATCATAATCAAACCCAGCTTCGGATTGATTACAATGGGTACAATGTCATTAAGTACAAAACCGCCATCATAATCAAACCCAGCTTCGGTATCGACCTCTTCCCCGCTATCCGTACCTTGGGCCGATGGTTCAGTATCGGATTCGGCACCGTGGAGAAGGGAGTCGGTAAAATAGTTTTCCAACCCCTTAAACAGCTGCTTATCCGCGACCACCGTCTTAACTTTATTATTGGTGTCCACATATTTAAGACATTGATGAAGAGTAGATGGGACTATAACATTACCGTGGATCCATGGTCGACCCAATAGTAAGTTATAAGAAGTCACCGCGTCAATCACATAACATGTGACTTCTGACTTCAAATCTTCGATCTGACACTTTACTCAGATTTTACCCAATGGTCTGGACCCACTGGTGTTGAATCCGTAGATCGTAGTACCCGTGGAGGCTAGCTTACTAGCTGGTATTCCGAGACTATACATCAATCGGAGCGGCATGATGCTGACAGCGTAACCCGGATCAACTTGGATCCGGTTGACAATGCTGGAGCCAATGTGCTCGGTAAAATATAGGGGCCGGTCATGCTTTGAATTCTTCGTCTGTATGTCTTCTTTGGTGAAAGAAATGCAGGGAAAATGGTGCACCGCAAGGTTGCAGTGTTGGACTAGCGGCTCTAGTTCTTCAGGAGATGGCTTGATCTGAGTCAAGAAAACTTCGAAATTGGCCAAAGCTTCTTGTAAAGCTTCCCTCGTGTCTTTTGATAGACGTAATAGCTCATACAGAGTTATTCTAGCTGGTATATTGGCTAATTGCGTTATAATATCGAAATGGGGTGGAGCACTCGAGCTTCCCGGTTTGTCTCTCCCAATCGGTTGATTGAATCGAGACTGCTTCGGGTTCTGACCCTCTTGGTATAGGGGTTCTTTCCCTTTTTACTTTTGTTGGGTCTTCTCCGCAACTACGAGTACTGGGGGAGTCGTGACAACTCCCATTTCTGCTAATGTCTTAGAGGAAACGGTTTTGGTTACCCCCTATTTAGCCAATTGCTCGGAAGCATCCGGATACTTGAAGTGATATTCATTTCTGCTCCGGATTACAAAGGCTTCTTGTTTATCTTCAGAAAATGGGAAAGCAGGAATTCTTTCGTCATCTTCTCCTGGAAATAGCAGAGGCTCCGTAGCAAGACTTCCCTTTTCCTTTTGATTTCTTCTTGGATGATGATCCGAGCCACTGCTCATCTTTGATCAGATCGGGATGAACCCAGAGAATTACACCATTCGGGGCTGTGTGTGGCACAAGTCCTTTCTGACGTTGTTTGTGAGGATCATCGTTAACAGTCTTTATCGCTACTTTCATCATTGGCTCGGGCTGAAACCAGTTCAAAGGGACAGATCCGAAGCTGATTGACACCGCATTCGCACCCACCTTCTTCTCTTTAGGTTGCTTCATGGTAATAACCCCTACATCGATCAAAGCTTGGATTTTGTCTTTGAGGGCGTAGCATGACTTGGTAGGGTGGTGAACCGCTCTGTGAAATGTGTAATACTTTGGGTCATTAACCCTCTTAGTGTATTCCAGATCTTGGATCAGAGGCAACTTAATCTTGTTATCCTGGACTGGAGGCAATTTGATCTTGTTATTCTCAATGAGGTACTTGAAGATACCAGGAACTTCATCCTCTTTGAACGAGTAAACCTTCGGGAATTTTGGTTCCAAAGCCTTCTGTTTCTGAGGCTGTTGTTGCCACCGTGACGGCTGAGGCGCCTTCTGCTGCTGCTGTTGCGGTTGCGATTGCACTTTGAATGTTTGGTTCACGTCCATTGCATTCGCTTGCACTTTCCCTTTACCCCTCGGAACAAAATTCTGTTGTGGGGCTGGTGTTGCCGTTTGACCTCTTTCGGGCTTTTTCCTCTTGAGGAAACATTCGGCTCTTTCCCCTTGGGCCTTCAAATCCTTCCAGGTCTTAGATGGTGCCATTTCCATGGCTTCGAGGATATCCAACGAAAGATTGTTGTGACAAGTCTCCAGGATGAAGTCCTCGCTAATCGGATCCCTACAATTCATGGTTTTGTTCCGAAATCGTTTGATAAAATTTTCCACCAACTCTCCGTCCTTTTGCTTCTCATCAAATAACGTTCCGATTGAGACCTCGGTGTCATCGTCGAAGAAATTCGTGAGAAACATATCCTCCATGTCATCCCAACTGGTAATACTCCCCGGCTTGAGGCGGCAATACCAATCAAAGGCTGCTCCGCGAAGAGTGCCGACGAATGACCGTACCATCAGAGGTTCATTCCCGGAGATTATCCCCAAGTGAGACTTGAAGTATATTAAATGCTGAGTGTGGGAACCATTTCCATAAAACGGTGTGAAGTTGATTAAATTGAACTTTGCTAGATACGGGATTGACTCCCACTCTCTTGGGTATGGGCACGGTATTCCGGACCTTTTTACTTCCTGAGCATTCATCAACGTATTGATTTTTCTCTCCAAATCCCTCATCTTCTTATCCTCGCTTGTATCTTTCTTCGGGCGATTTCGGGGAGAGGCAACATGATCCTCCTTCATATTGTTATCATCCGATGGACCACCCCCAGTATTGTTGTCGACGGGAGGGGTGTTCATGTTGGCATTCTCCTCCACTTCCCGATCATTATCAGCTTGGTTGGGATTATTTCGACGGCTAGACTCTCCCTGCTGATTTGTCAGTATCACGATTTGCTGGTCATGCATCTCCCTTATTTGCTGCATAGCCATTTCCATTTCAAATTTGAAATTATCCCTCTGCTTAGTTAAAGCGTCCTCAAGAATTTTATTCATCTGCTCTGCGTTGATCATGAACGACTCAAAGGATTGTCCTGTGCTTGATGTCGTATCATCGGAAGCCATTGCCGAGCAGGTATCTGAGCAAGCATCTGGCGTTTCTTCATCTGAGGGTAGTCCCTTTTGTATCGTCTGATAATTCTTTCGTCTATTGGTTCCCGATTGTAATCGAGTTATCCGTTGGGATACTCCTAAAAACTGGTCAGGTCTAAAGAGTGGTGTTGACTTCCCTCTACCCGTCATGTTGACAGATACTTCTGGAAACTCATTATCCTGAAGGGAAGCTCTCTTCTTGCGGAAACGCCTTGGTCTGGATTCAGACGTCCTGGTGGAGATTCTTTCAAACACTAAAACTCTCTCCGGGGCGGTCTTGGAACAGTAACATTCTGACAACACCGCCTTAATAATTTTGGAACACAAACAATGAGAGTCCGGTTCTTGATTATTCCTTCTCCGAGACCTGTTCGTACTTCGGGCCTGATAGTACAACTCATCGGTCGGATGACCGGAGCAACCCATCGTGTGTTGGTACGAGTCCCTAGGTGTAACATCCTCGTCTGACGAGTACGTTTTCTTCTGGGAATTCAACGCTGTTAGACCCTAGAGGGGGGGTGATTAGGGTCTTATGCTAATCTAATCTGATTTAAATGCCAATTAAAATTAATTAACAAATATATTCTTGCAAGATAGATATACAAAGAGTTATGTGCAAGAATATGCAATATACACAATGTGATATATCCTAAAAGATAGAGATATATGCAAGGATATATAAACAACACAAGGGTAAATAATCTAAATAGGATAGTGGATGAAATGAATGAGCAATGCACAATTAGCGATATAAGATGAATGCAAAAACAAATACGCCAAAGACAAACTCAAACAAGCAATATGATCATGGAGTTCGGATCTTCCGTCCTACGTCTCCGCTCCCCACTCCCGGGGAGAAATCCACTATCACAACCGTTTTCTACGTTCACCCGAACAACGTTTACACCTCACACTCGGTTTTCTAGCTAACCGAAAAATTTACAATCAATACACTATGGTAATCCCACTCTACACCCACTAAGTGTTGGACCTAGCCGTGTCTCCCTCAAGTGCTCGGTTACAACCTCTCCCTAGGCACGTCAACCGACGCCACTCCTCTTAGATTCGACCCCGTCTCTCACCACACACTTCTCTCGGTGTACAAGTGTATTACAAGTGAATCCTCACAATTAAGCACAATATAAATCAATTGATTGTTCTCTAAACAAGGTGAGAACTCAATTAAGCACAACTCTAAGTCACAAACC